GACTACGACTACGACTACGACTACGATGTCTTCTTCTTCTACTACTACTACTACTACGACGACGACGACGACTACTACTACTATTACTACTACTATTACTACTACTACCACTACTACTCCTACTCCTACTCCTACTCGTACCCCCACTATTCCTACTCCTCCTACTCATACTCCTCCGCCTCCTGCTCCTCCTGCCCTCCTGCTGCTCCATCGCGTCCTCCGTCGCCTCCTCTTCCTGCTCCTCCTCCTCCCCCTCCTCGTCGTCCTCGTCGTCGTCGTCTTCAGGGCCGGCGGCACCTTCCATAAGGCCTTCAGAATACAAGATCGTAAGAAAATTCACGAGCGGGGCCCTAGACCCAAGCTTCCTGCGACAACTCTCGAGCCAAATCAAACCGAGGGGGCACTGGGGCCCCCAACTTGCAATCTCTCGGACGTCCATTCTCCGCTCGTTTGCCGGTTTCGTGCGCTTCTGTTCTCGCAAGATGATCCTGCCCGGGTGCTTCTCGATGGTCCTCGCCGAAGAAAAATGCACACGTCCGAGCGATGCCAAGCCAAGTACAAGGCGACACCGCCCGATGTGGAAAACATTTTGCGACGCCAGGATCTCGGTGCGGGGGGTCCGTCGAGCTGAAGCCGGCGATGCGTCGCCGATGGATTGGCGAGCGGCCCTCGACCGCGAGACTTCACGCTCCTGGGCCCACCTCGCCAGGACCCCGTCGGCGATGATTGGGCGGACGGGGGCCGAGGCCTCTCCCCCTACCTGCCACCGCTGGGACGTCCATCCCGCGTGCATGCTTCGGAGTCGTGCGCGCAGTGTCCGCACGATGATCCAGGGTGCTTTCTGATGGTCCCCGCCGAGGAGAACAATGCACACGTCCGAGCCGTGCGAGATCTCTCCCTGAGCCTCACCCCCCCGGACGCGGCCCCCGACACGAGGCCAGGGGCAGACAGCAGAGCAGCACCTCCGCTGCGCAGCTGCAGGAGCTGGCGGCGACATCCGAACCCCACCCCCACCGATCATCGATTCTCCCAGATCGATGGGAGACGGGGGCACGTTTGGCAGGTGGGTCTCTCAAGCTCTCCGCCGCCCCTGGCGGTGTGCGTTGCGGGCAGGCACACAGCAGAGCCACAGGAAAGCGCGGCATTGACAGTGCAGCTCCGCACACGTGACAAGTGCGAACGAGCAGGAACACAGCAAAGCCCCAGTTAACGATGGGAGACGGGGGCAGGGTTGGAACTTCGCCAAGCCCTTTCTGGGGATACCAAAAGGTACCCATATCCCCACTCCACGGACCTCTCCTGTCGTTCGTTCTGACCACGATTTCGGAGCGAAAACCCAAGGCGGCGAGAACGAGGCACATGTAGAGGTATCTACCCCCACCAGCCATCGATTCTCCTGAACCGATGGGAGACGGGGGCAGGGTTCGGATTTCGCCACTTGCTCGACGAGTGCCGAACCCTACCCTAGCCTTGTGGATGCCACGACAGTGGACACCCTAGCAGTCCTATCAGTGAATTAAACATGTGTTTGAAATGTGTTAAACAATGTCTAAAAACGTGTCAAACATGTTTTAACATATGTAAAACATGTTTGAAACATGTTTGAGACACCCGGAAATTATTTGGCAGTACGCTTCCTCTCCATTGATCGACTTCCACAACCCTGGCCGCCCATCGGGTCGCCAGACTCGTTGATCGGCGAGGGCAAGGTTCGAATCTCGCCGCCGACCTGCAGTCGGACCTAGGTGAAGGGGAACTGGGACACACAAATAAATAGACACAAATAACCAGATTCCCCATAGTTTCCCATATGTTCCGGGTTTCTGTCTTCCCCCCCCACACTTCCCATATTTTCCCATATTTCTGGGGAATCGACGATGAATTGTGTCTGTGTGTTTTTCCCCTCCTGACTAGGACAGAAGAATATCCCTCAAGAACATGAGACCCTCCTTCGGCCAAAACAAACACAGAACATTCAGGGGTACCCTCCCCAGTGCGCACAAGAACGTCCGACAGACACGAAGAACACTAGGGTACACTCCCCGAACCGACCTCGATACCTCGATCTTACATATACCTCGGTCCGACTGTACCCCAGCGACCCCCCTCCCAGCTGTGCTCAGCCGGTGGGGAGGCTCTCCTTGGGGTCGAAAACCTGCGACAAGGCCGCGCCCCCTCTGCGCGCAGCCACTGGGGGGGGCACTAGAACAAGAAAAAACGCTGTAAACGTTAACTTTTGGCGCTCCGCGCGGATTTCCTGGATCTGCGCGCTGGGGTCGGCAACAGAAACGCCGCCGGGGGGGCCCCAGCGCGGATCCAGGAAATCCGCGCGGAGCGCCACAAGTTATGTTTATGGCCTTTCTTCTTCTACTTCGATGGGACGCACAGGGACAAACTAATACTATATGTCCTCCTTAGAGGAGCGCGTCCGATCCGAACATGTAGTATACCCATCTGGTCGTATCTCGTTTCCCGAGCGGTGTGGCCAGAAAGCGCCGGCCACGACGCATATATCGGGAGCGGCAAAGACGGGGGTGTCCAAGAGGGGGGGTGCAAATCATGACCGGCGGCATGTGCGCGGCCCAGCGGGGGGGCCAGGGACGTAATGAAATAAGAGGAGGCGCCATGAAATCTGGGGAAATATCATGGCCCCCGCCATGATATCCACCCCCCCCCTAGTCATCACCCCCCTCTTTTCCGCCCCCGAGTACACCATAAGATTTCTCGGTGCGCGCGTCGCCCCCATGGGGGGGGCGACGCACATATATAGTAGAAGCATGTTGGCGTGACGCCGCCGATTCGAGGCGCACGGGGGGCCCTCGCCGCCGGCGCCGTCGCGCTCCTGCTCGTGGCGGCGAGGCCCCCCCCGGGGGGGGGGGGACCTCGGCCGCTCCCCCGGGGGCGGGCCTCGCCGCCACGAGCAGTGCTCCGTGCGGGCGGCCCGGGGGCCGGGAGGCGGCCCCGCTGGAGGCCGAGGCTCGGGGGAGCTGCTGGCCCGGGTGCCTCCGCCGGCCCCGGGCCAGCCAGGCCGTGCAGGATCCTGCAGGATGACTACCTACCAAACCACCCCAACCCAACCCGAAGACCCGAATTTGACCCGAATTTCGGGTTGGGGGGGTACTGGTTCTTCGTGTTTTTTCGACGTTCCCCGACCCCCCCCCCACTGGAAATGAAGGGCAAATTGAGGCCTTCGGGTTGGGTTGGGGTGGTTTGGTAGGTGGTGACAGGATGCTGCGAGGCCCTGCACCCCAAGCCCGGGTCAACGCGAGGGACCCTGCAGGATCCTGCGCCCAGATCCGGGTCAATGGGAGCCTGGTCCTGCAGGATCCTGTAAGATCTGGCGCTCTGGCTGACCCCCGTTTGCATCGCCCCCCGTCTCAAGGCTCCCGACAGGAACAAAAAACAAAAAACCGGCCGTCGCGCTGTCTCTCGACCGCTCCCCTGGGGCGGGCCTTGCCATTACGCTTCGGTCGGGCATGTCCCCCATACAGGAGGGATATGCAAAAATACAGAAAAATTGTCCTGGGACGATGTTTCAAGTATTTTGTTTTTTTCTGTTATTTTTTAGGGTATTTCTAATTTTTCGTCCAAAACCCGCCTGTAGGGGGACATGCCCGACCTAGCATTACGAGTCGCTGTGTGTGGGCGGCCCAGGGGCCGGGAAACAGCCTCTGGAGGCCATGGGCAGCAAAAAATCCGTCGCGACGTCTCCCCTACGGGAAAAAGGGTCTGAGGGCGGGGGGGCATGAGCATCGTTTGACCGATCCTTATCCCCGCCAGCGTGGCCTGGGCCCCACTCCCCGATTTGCCTCCCCCAAATGGGGGCATGGGCTGCTCCACTCGGCCTTCGAGGGGCTCATCCCCAACTGGGGTGGTGGGATGGTGGGGCTGGGATACCATGGCCCAGTGCGGATGAGGCAGGAGAAACGTGACTGAAAGCCACAGGGTCCCCGCGGCCACCGGGCCGAGCGGCACCCACGCGGTGAGCCGCGCTCCGTCACCGACGCAGGCGCGGTCCACGTGGCAGAGGACAACTCTCGACCATCGCGTCCCGCCAGACCCTCTGGGAAGCGGGGATTTATCCATATCCACCCCCTGGGAACCGACGTCCTGGTGCCCCAGTGGGCGATGGATATGCATGTATTTTGGCTCCCGGGGGCCCGAATATATCCATATCCACCGCCTGCCGAGATTCCGAAAATTGATTCTCCAAGCGTTTGTCATGTGACTGTAGATTTAGGTCGGGCGTGTCCCCCTACAGGCGGACCTTGGACGACAAATGAAACATACCAACCAAACAAACATTCAAACATAGTCAAACATATTCCAAAAATAATCCCCATATTATTTTTCGACTATTGTTGAATATTCATCCTGTAGAGGGACAAGCCCGACTCAATGCTAAAACGGTCCTCCCGGAAGAAAGCAACGAATTCCAGGAATAACTCTCAGCGCACTAACTAGTAAACGGGCTGCTTCCCAGAAGGAAAACAAGTCCCACGGAGCTCCATTTTAGCGGCCACGGGTTTGCCAGCGTTCGCCTGGCTCCTGAGCTTTGCAAGATCCTGCGAAATCCTACGGGATTCTGCAATCTCCTGCACCCAAGCCCGGGTCAAGATGCACCCTTGGCTCTGCAGGATCCTGCAAGATCCAGCGCCCGGACTGACCCCCGTTTCCATGGGCGCCCGTCTCTAGGCGAGCGCGTTTCACTACTCGCATAGTGACTACTCGCAAATGGCCTGGGTCCGCCGCGGGGGATCTACGATAAATTACGTCAAAACAGGCATCTGTTTTTCGGACGTTTGCGAGTAGGCGCTTTGCGAGTAGTGGAACGCGCTCGGTGAGTAACTTGAACCCCGACGGGCCCCTGGAGAGGCCCGTTCCCCGGAAACGTGGGGCCTCCAGACTTTGTGCCGCCAGCGGCCGCAAGAGGAGCCCGTCGGCGGTCGAGGCAGCGGCGGGCGGCGGCGCGGCGGGCGGCAGGCGGGCGGGCGGCGCGC